ATTTCTCTGAACACCTTAGTTTAGGTCCAAATATAGCTGTAAAAAAATATCATGTCCTTGTGGTATATATATGTTGATCTCTGGCTCTACCACTATAACTGAGCTAACTTGACGGAAATTCCCTCTAGCTCGAAGCTAGAAGGCGATTGTAATCCTATATACAATTAAAATCTGCCACACGATTATCTTAGTCTGTGCGTGGACCAAAGAATGTTCTGCGTGAATCAAAGACTTTTTGCCGAGTTTCAATTTTTACTGATATTTGCGTACATTTCCCGTTGACAGACGAACCGATTACGTTATCCATTACATAGCGTGTGCTATATGCTTTGAATGTGCAAGGTGCTCCATCCGGGTTACGGTTGTTACCAACAACAATATGGCGGCGTGCATGTTATAGACAAGTTTCCTTCTGTCGGAAAGCAGGGGGAGTTGGGAATTTCCTTTTGACACGATGCTGCTGGTCAAATAACGATTATTGTAAATAATATAACCAGGTCATCATGGATGAACGTCATTGGTGGATAGCTGGTAAAATCCAGGAAACTTTTAAGATCGGCGGCTATGACAATCCGACGCTGTTGGAGGATTTTATGACGGAGGAGGGAACGCTCACTAAAATAAACCGTTTCCTTAAATCAAGCGGTCCATGTCGCCTATTCTTTTATTCAGAAAAACCGGAGAATGCAACCTTGTCATCAAGAGAACTGTATGTCACTGGAACACTAGCTGCGTTAAAAGATGTGAATTTAGATAATGTAAACATTCTTTACTTTCTCCGAAACCGTGTAGACAAAGATGTTGATGGTCATCGGATGGAAAGAGATGTGTTCTGTGGGGAACTCAAACACAACACGATTGAAACGCTCACAGCGTTGCTTTCAGATGTTTACCTACCACTCATTAAGGCACAGAAAGAATGGGGAGAATGCAACAATGAATGCCAAACTAATCTTACACATAGCATGGACAAATTTTTGACAGCTTTAAATGAATCAACTGCTTCTATGCAAACTTCAAAACAGTTGGTATGTTGAAAATACATCTCTGCATTTATCTATTACCAACAGTTCAAAATATCTAATAAATTTCATTTTTTTTGAAGTAATTAATTACTGAAAAAAACCTGATGGGTTTACTCAAATGAATTATTACCTGTAGATTTCTATGTTTAAATGCATGTAATTTTCAATAAGTGTAATTTTTCTTAGTACAGTATTGCAAAATAATTTGTATTCATATTGAACATATGTCGCTCAACAGATGCTGAAGCAACCGGAAAATATTATTTTGAATGACTTCAAACAACAAAGAGCAGCTGCCCTAGATCCTCAATTAATTAGTCAATATGAGGAACTTGTGAATGATTGGATGAATACTATCGAGACAACACTAAATGATACTTCTGATGAAAGGTAACAAGTTCCTTAGTATTTTTTTTT